ACCCTAAACCCTAATTCGTAAACCGTGACAGCGAAACACATCGTCGTGCATAGTCTTAAGAAAGCCGCTGAACCGCGCCTACACCTTGCGTAGGGGAAGGGTTTAGGGTTTAGGGTTTAGGGTTTAGGGTTTAGGTTTTGCTTGCCTTCCAAACCCTCGCCAGGGCCTCTCAACAAGAGGCTCTAAATGCAGCTGCAGCGCAGCAGCAAGCTGCTGCGGCAGCAGAGACACTGCAGCAGACTCTGTAAACCACGAAGCAGCCTCCAGGTCCCTCAAACCCCTCCCGTACGCCTGCGCACAAACCCTAAACCCTAAACCCTAAACCCTAAGCCCTAAACCCTAAACCATAGCAAACAGACTGAGAAACTACCTTAATAACATACAGCAGTAAACCCTAATAAACCCTCATAAACCCTAATAAACCCTCATAAACCCTAATAAACCCTCGTAAACCCTAATAAACCCTGTAAACCCTAATAAACCCTGTAAACCCTAATACCTGCATTGCCGCTGCAAGCCACTGATCCACAGTGAGACGCCCTCCTTGCTGCTGCTGCTGCTGCTGCTGCTGCTGCTTGAGGGCCTTTAGGAGCTGCGGCGGTGCTTGCTTTGCTGCTGCATTTCCTATTGAGCGCAGCAGCAGAGCAACGTCTCTCCAGCTGTCTCCTTCAGCTGTCTGTCTCCTGAGACGCATCTCCGCCCAGCAGCTGTAGCCACAGCGGCTTGCTATTTGCTGCCGCTGCTGCAGCAGCAGCAGCAGCTGCTGCAGCAGATACTCTTCCTGCTGTTTATATGCTTCATTACGAAGCTGTATCCACTTCGCCGTGAGACTCTCACGCAAATCGAATTTAGGGTTTAGGGTTTGCGACGAGGGTTTAGGGTTTAGGGTTTGCGAAGAGGGCTTAGGGTTTAGGGTTTGCGACGAGGGTTTAGGGTTTAGGGTTTGTAGCAAAGCCAAGACAACTTCATAGTTCTGGTTTGTAAGAGCTATCTGTAAACCCTTTTTTGTTGTTTTATATAACCTCAGCAAAGCAGCGCCTCCGGGGCCCTCGAGATAGTCCACAGGCACTAATAGACTCCTATATACACACAAACCCTAAACCCTAAACCCTAAACCCTAAACCCTAAACCCTGAACCCTAAACAATAAACCCTAAACACTAAACCACAAATCATAAACCATAAAGCCGACACAACGGCGAGCGCAAGCAATTGTTGCAAACAATAGAGAAGTATAATAAACCCTCATAAACCCTAATAAACCCTAATAAACCCTCATAAACCCTAATAAACCCTCATAAACCCTAGTAAACCCTAGTAAACCCTAATAAACCCTACTAAACCCTGGGAGAGTCGCCAGAGGAAGTGAGAGACAAACCCTCGTGCATGCGAGTTAAGAGGCTTTAGGGTTTAGGGTTTAGGGTTTAGGGTTTAGGGTTTACTGTGCTGCTGTCGCCTTCGCAACGCGGCTGCGGAATACTTCGCTGCTGCGGTCAACTGCGCGCTGTTCTGCTGCAGTTAGACCTCGACAAGCAGCAGCAGCAGCAGCAGTTGCTGCTGTTGCTGCTGCTGCTGTTCCTTTCCCCTGCTGCTGCTGCTGCTGCTGCTGCTGCTGCTGTTGCTGCTGCTGCTGCTGTTGCTGCTGCTGCAGCAGAGCAGCAAGGGAATCATGCACGTTTTGTAGGGGCCTCAAGGCAAAGCGTAAAGTAATGAAAGAGGGTTTGATGCAGCAGCAATATTGAACTCGCTGCTGCAGCTCCAATACCCTCTCCAGCAGATACTGCAGATACTCCTGCTGCTGCTGCTGCTGCTGCTGCTGCTGCTGCTGCTGCAGGTGGAGGCCTTGGCGCACTGCAGCACGGAGAGCCCTTGAGGCTCTGACAGCAGAAATGCAGTTGAAATCGTACGGCATTAAGGGGCCCCCAAGGAAGGCCTCTCTCCTTTGCGCAGCAGCAACATCTGCTGCTGCTGCTGCTGCTGCTGCTGCTGCTGCTGCTGATGTTACTCCTTTTGCTGTTGCGCGGTGCTGCTGCTGCTGCTTTGCTGCAGCAAACTGCTGCGGCGTCAGCACTCCAGCAGCAGCAACAACAGCATTACCCCCACCACCACCACCAGCTGCTGCTGCTGCTGCTGCTGCTGCTGCTGAGGGCAGCAGCAGCGGTTGACGCCCTTTAATCAGACTCCAAAGACCGTGCAGCACTAAATAAAAATGTTCCCTTACAGCCATCCTTCCTGCTGCTGCTGCTGCTGCTGCTGTTGCTGCTGCTGTTGCTGCTGCTGTTGCTGTTGCTGCTGCGGCTGCCGCGGCCTCTGCTGCTGCTAGAGCTAACAGGAGGCCGTAGCAGCAGTAGCAGCAGCAGCAGCAGTTGCTGCTGCTGCAGCTGCTTCTGCCGCTGTTAAGGCTTTCCCTAGGGCAGCAGCTGAAGATGTTCAAGCTCGCAGCAGCAGCAGCAGCAGCAGCAGCTAAGGAGAGCCTGCAGTGTGCTGGGGGGCCCCCGGCTCCTTAGGGCCCCCAAGAGCCGAAGAGACACCTAACAGCAGCAGCAGCAGCAGCTGCTGCAGCAGCAGCAGCAGCTGCAGCAGTTAAAGAAGATTAAGAATAAAGCATAAAATATTAAAGACACAAATAGTATATATTTAAAAAAAGTTTATTGATGCTGCTGTCTCCGCCTAAACCCTAAACCCTAAACCCTAAACCCTAGGGGCCCCCAGAGGGGCCCCTTAGAGAAGCACTTTGATTTTGTTTGCTGTGTTTGTTTTACTTCAGAGTTATATTTATTAAGAAGAAATAAATTTAATATTTTTTATTTAAATAAATTTATCCTTAGCCTGATGCTCCATTTACCCCCACCACCTTTAGGGTTTAGGGTTTAGGGTTTAGGGTTTAGGGTTTAGGGTTTAGGGTTTTGCTAGGGTTTAGGGTTTAGGGTTTCGCTAGGGTTTAGGGTTTAGGGCTTTGGTTGATCTAACCCAACAACTTAGTAACAACTGCTTCCGAAGGAGTTCCTTATGAGCACTGCAGCAGCAGCAGCAGCAGCAGCAGCAGCAGCAGCAACAGGAACAGCAGCAGCAGCAGCAGAAACAGCAGCAATAGGTACTAACGACAGCAGCAGCAGTGGGAGCAACAGCAGCAACAGCAGCAGCATCAGTAGCAGCAACAACGGCAGCAGCATCGTCATTAACAATCCCAGCATACAAACAGCAGCATTCGCAACAGCAGCAGCAGCAGCAGCAGCAGCAGCAGCAGCAGCAGCAGCAATACACAAATGGGGTGTTGGCTTCCTTAACGATGAAGCATTCAGCAGGCCAGGGAGAGGACTCCTTCTTCGACTCTCCTGCTGCAGCAGCAGGCGAAGCAGCAGCAACAACAGCAGCAGCAACAACAACAGCAGCAGCAGCAGAAGCAGCAGCGGCAGCAGCAGCAGCTAAAGATCCACCGGCTCCGCAGCAACAGCCGCCTCTACGAGGGCGTGCGAAGGCCATAGCCCGTGCAAAAGCAGCAGCAGCAGCAGCAGCAGCAGCAGCGTCAACCTCAGCATCATCATCATCCATAACAGCAGCAGCAACAGCAGCAGCAGCAGCAGCAGCAACAGCAGCTAGAGCTGAGAAGCGCTCTCGGGTGTCTCCTGAGCTGCTAAGTGCTGCAGGGGCCCTCAGTGGTCGGTTGCTGCCTCTCGTGTCTCTTGGCTGTGATGAAGGCCTCTTAGAAGATGAAGTTGCTGCTTTCATATTCGAGTGCTGCAGCAGCAGCAGCAGCAGCAGCAGCAGCAGCAGCGAGGAGTTGATAGTTGTGGGGAGTACAGGGGCCCTTGAGGGCCGCTACAATCGTCGGCCTGTCTCTCTTCCTGTTGGTGTACACTCTTTGCTGCAGCAGCAAGATGCTTCGCAGCTGCTGTTTATAGAAGCACTGCCGCAGCAGCAGCAGCAGCAGCAAATACAACACCTGCTGCAGCAAATACTAGGCGCATGTCGCACAATATATAAAGCCAAGCAGCTACCCTCTACTTATCAAATCGTAGATACTCTCGACGAACAGGGTGCTGCTGCTGCTGCTGCTGCTGCAGCAGCAGCAGCAGAAGACAGCAGCCACATGCTTGATTTAGAAGAAAATATAGATGCAGCTGAAAGCAACTCAGACTCGCGAGTCCTCATCTACACCCTCGCTGACTCCCAAGAGCAGCAGCAGCACCAGGAGCAGCAGCAGGAGCAGCAGCAGCAGCAGCAGCAGCAGCAGCAGCAGGTGGTGCGGGTATCGCAGCAAGTGCTGCTGGGGCGTAGATTAATTTACCGTCCTAAAGCCTCCCGTCACCTACAAATATCTGTCTTCTCTTCAAATTCATATTCACTTACACCAATCAGCAGCAGCAGCAGCAGCAGCAGCAGCAGCAGCAGCAGCAACGGGGACGCAGGCAGCAGCAGCAGAAATGCCAGCAGCAGCAGCAGCAGCAGCAGCAGCAGCAGTACGGGGGGAGAGAGGATGCCTATTGAACTTGTTAAGGACCTGCAGCGGTTCGGCTTCGTGGGGGGGCCTGCAGCAGCAGCAGCAGCAGCAGCAGCAGCAACGCCAGCAGCAGCAGAAGCAGCAGCAGCAGCAGCAGCAGCAACAGTACGCGTGACTACGAGGAAAGTTGTGCGCTGCGACTGCTGGGTTTTCTCCCCTGTCCTGCCGCCGCAGCAGCAGCAGCAGCAGCAGCAGCAGCAGCAGCAGCAGCAGGATTTGGTGCTGCCTGAGTGGGTGTTAGAGCTGCGGCGAGAGGCTGAGGAAGGAGACACAGCAGCACATCCAGAGTTGCTGCTGCAGCAGCTGCAGCGAACAGCAGCAGCAAGCAGCAGCGGGGTTGGAGCAGATGCTGACTTAAGCGATGAATCGCGCAGTTTATATGTACGCCTGCATGCACCTGCAAGATGTTTGCTGCTGCAGCAGCAGAAGCAATTGCTGCAGCAGCAGCAGCAACACCACCCGCTGCTGCTGCAGCAACCTTCTGCCTTCAAGGCCCTCGTCTCTCTTTTTCTCTACAACCTGCGTGTGGCTGTAGCAGAGCCAGTTGAAGAAGCAGCAGCAGCAGCAGCAGCAGGAGCAGCAGCAGCAGCAGCAGCAGCTTCTTTATATTACCCAGGGGTTCTAGGGGATGCGCAGCAATCTGTACAAACATTTTATGAAAATAGAAAAGTGCTTGCTGCTGCAGAGTCGCCAATTGCTGCACTTCGACTCTACAACAATCAGGTAACTGCAGCTCCGGTGTACGTACACCCTGCATGCATTCAGCAGCAGCAGCAGCAGCAGCAGCAGCAGCAGCAGCAGCAGCAACAGAATTTCATGCGGTATAAATTGTATTTAAATGTTTTCTTTTGTTGTTTATTGTAATATTGTCTATACTATATAATAATATAAATATAAGTATAAATATAAATAAATAAATATAAATAAATAAATATAAATATAAATATAAATATATATATAAATATATAAATGTAAATGTATATACGTAGTAATATTTATGATAAATTAATAAATGTTTTTGTTTATATTATTATATTAATTATATTTAATTAATTTATTTTATTTTATTTTAATGATGTTAATAAATATAATTTTTTCGTCTTTGTTTTTAATTGTTTGTTTAAACCCCTCATTTATTTATTTTGTTTAAATATACCAACGCTGTTACATTTTAATTATTTTTATTAACAAACAGCAATTAATATATACAAATATATACATATATATAGATATGTATATATATACAAACATATATATATAAACATATATATATATATATATATATATAAACACGCGTATATACATGCATATATATATATAAACATATATATAGATATATATATATATATACATATATATATATATGTATATATATATATATATCTATATGTTTATATATATATGTATATATACACCTATGTGTTTATATATATATATATATATGTGTATATGTATATAACTATTCTCTATTATTAACTTTAACTAATACAAATAAATAAACAACATAAACGAGCATTATATAAACAACATTGATTAAAAAATATAAAAACATATTAATTATTATCTTCAGGTGAAGAGAGTGCTGATAAGGATGGAGGTTAAAAGAGGTGCGCGCGTCTTAGATTTAGCATGCGGACATGGTCAAGATTTGTTTAAGTTTGCTGAAGTTCAAGCTTCGCGACTCTTAGGTAACAATTAATTAATTAATTAATTATTTAATTAATTATTTATTTATTTATTTGCTGTTTATTTATCTATTTATTGATGTGCTTACCTTGCAGTTTATTTATATATATATTTATATGCATATACACTGGATTTGTTTAAGTTTGCTGAGGTTAAAGCTATTATTTAATTATTTATTTAATTATGTATTTGTTTATTATTTGTTTATTTTATTTGTTTGTTTATTTTCTTCTTGCTGTTGCTGCTGCTGCTTCTGCTACTGGTGCTGCTCTGCTTCTATTGTTATTACTTATGCTTAAATCCTACTGAAGTTGCAGCAGCAAATGCTGCAGCAGCAAATGCTGCAGCAGCAAATGCTGCAGCAGCAGCAGCTTCTGTTGCTGCTGTATGTGCTGCTGCTCGTGTTTCTGCTGCTTCTATGCTGCTGCACGAACTGCTGCTGTTGCTGCTGCTGCTATTTTGCTGCTGCTGCTCCTCCTCCTACTCCTCCTATTACCAGCACAGCAACTACACCAACTGCTCCAACTGCTGCTGCTGCTGCTGCTGCTGCTGCTGCTGCTGCTGCTGCTGCAGGTATAGATTTCTCGAGAGATTCAATAGTCGAAGCCCGTCAGCGTGTACGCGAGAGAAGAAGAGAAGGTTTAATTCGTCAGCTTTTAACAAGACCTGAGTATCATGCAGGAGATATAAATGCAGAGAGGGTGTGGGGTATAATTAGAAAAGAAATATTTGATGTGGTGTCTATACAGCTGGCTATTCATTATATTGCTGCAACAGAGCAGCAAATGCTGCTGCTGCTGCAGCGCTGCAGCAGCTGTATGACCACTGGAGGTAAATTCATAGGAAGTACTGTATGCTGTCGTGCTCTTAGCAAATTTGTGATGCTGCTGCAGCAGCTGCAGCAGCAGCATATCGATTTGCTGCTGCAGCAGCACAACAACCCTGCTGATGAGCAGCTCTCTGTCTATGCTCGCATGCTTGAAGCAGCAGCAGCAGCAAAACAAAGAATATTCTACGCTGGAAACTCTATATTTGCTGTTTTCTTTACTGAGGATACACTGCAGCAAATCTTAGCCCCCTACAGACTACCCCCCGAAGAAGGTTAGCAGACAATATATAAATATTTAAATAAATATATCAATATATTAATAAATATAAATGTATATTTGTGTATATATTTATTTTTATATGTATATATACAGGCGTTTATATATATATATATATATATATATGTAAATTTATATGTATATATATATATATATATATGTATATATATATATATATATATTTATATATATATATATATATATATAT